TTTTTGCGTCCGGGTTGCCTGTTTTGCTGACCACAATGGCGCGCGCCAGTTGGCCAAACTGCGCTGTTTCTTTCATCCGAACGCGCTGCTGTTCGCTGACTCATTGACGCAGCAACAAACCGACAGCGACTTCACCAAAGAGCATAATCGTTCAAGACGTTCAATTGTGAAAGGACAAGATATTTGTGGCCAGATTCAGTTCAATGAGGTCGGCCAAGTATTTGGAGTCTTTAAAGAATAGTTTGCGATTTGGTTTGCAGAGTTGGCAGAGTGTGTGGGCTAGTGATCAGCTGGTGCCCAGTGAGCAGACCCAGACCCAGCTGGAATCCAAGTGTTCTATGCCCAGGATAAGGTTCCGAAATACAGTTGCACTTGCCTGGATGAATTCACGTTCGGTTTGCGCTCAAATATCTCAAGCCCGGACAGCCAGAACGGAAAAACACGGACAGCCTGGAAGCTCGTCCGCGAAGCTTGGCAGGATGAATTGATTCCTTCACCTTCTTGTTGCTCATTGTTGGGACGTCCTCGTGGCTCATTGGATGCTTGGTTTCCATTGGTATGTCATCGTTTCTCTTTCAAATTATCACAATGGTTTGCGACAAAGTGTTTGTTCATATTGCTGATAACATGTGCGTGCATCATGCGAATACGATCGTTGCGGTATCAGCAGTAGCTCAATGCACAAAAAGCATGTCCATATGTTCTTTTTGTAATGTCCAACATTTGCATTAACACAACTAGACTCATACATGTATACAGACTCAAAGCATCCTGCTTTTCCTCAGTCCGAAGCCAAAAGGAGGCTCCTGCCAAAACACAAGCCATCCTCCTGCCTTTGTGGAGTCTTCTACACTCCCTGAAAGAATCACAGGAAGTGGATGGCACCACCTGTTTCGTCGAGTGGACTCTTTCGGCGCAAAAAACCGCGTTCACGTTGACCCGTGCAGCACCGAGCGAACAGAGCGAAGGAGTGTGTGCATTCGGACTGGTACGTAATTACTTATAGTGGCTGGAGACGGGGTGAGGGCGCTAGCGTTTGTTGAGGACTATATTGTTATACACTGACATACTAGCGGGCTAGCGCCGCGGCTGACCCGCGAGAGGGTCGGAGAGCCGGAGTCGGCAGGCGTGGGCGAGAGCGGGTTGGCCCAAGGTGGTCAAAGTTCCAAGTGATGGCATCGCACAAAAACTCACAGACATGTAACACTCCCCTGAGACTGCGAAGCGTCTGCGAACCGATGAGCTAATGTTTTGCCGGCTTTGCGTGATATCACGACATAATGCTTGCCATAGCGTAAGACACTTTTCTGTTTTGCATGGAGTAGGTAGGGTTTTGCGCAATCTGCTCCGCTGTCGCAATGTAGCCATGAAGTTCGGCGCTCCTTCTACTTCTCCTGTAAGAGCCTTTTGTTAAACACGTTTATATAATATAGGCTTTGAGCTTCCGAGCACAGGTGTGCCGGGGTCGACCCACCAGAGACCAGCAGCTCCTGCAGTTTTCATTTTGAATGAATTTGTTTTGGCGTCCTCTTGGGTCTTTGGACGCTTGGTTTGGACTTGCATGTTTTTGCTTTCCTCCAAATCTGTGTCTAGACGACATACATGTATTTGGAGTGTCAAGTGTTCTTCACCACAGGCAGAGTTGTTTTCTCTTTGTTTGACAAATTTTGTTGTAGCAGCGACTTTCCGGAGTGTTGATTTGTCCTACCAATATAGCAAGTGAGGATGTTCTGAAGCACCAAGCTTCAGCTGTTGAGCACGCTTGTACCAAAAAATTCACGAGACACTCTTCAGAACGAAGACTCGCCAGCCACTGAATGACATAGCTTTTGAGGACGCACATGCATGGGCCGTGGCATCGTAGCCAAGACGTGCGGATGCCAAAATAGAATCCGTTACTTTGGACTGGCTTCGTCCGGCTGCTTTCATTGTTCCACCGAGATCACAAGATATTAAGGTTGAAACCAATAGCTGCGTGTGACGGCAAGACAATTCATTGGTATTCTTCGTTATTTGGGCAAGTTGCACCTTCAGATACGACGACGACGTTCCAGTTGCAGATTGACAATTGAACAAAAATTCAGATTGAATTGCGATGATGCAATTATGGCGTTTGTTTGCTCATTTGTGATGGTTCTTCCTTTGCAGTGTTCCTAGCAGCATGAGTGAAGCAGATTGTTGAGCAATTTGTTCACGGCTGTTGGACATTTTCGCGGAGGCTGAAAGTGATGCCAACTATGCAGCAACACATACCTGAAAAACAAATAATTTGCAGCCGTGCTGCTTGTTTGTCTGTAGAGGGCTGTGAAGAGCGACGCAGTGCCTTCCTTGCTTTTGCACAGTGACCGCTCTGGGCGATGATGCAGGTCTATGATTTCCACGCCACACGCATGACGCCTGGCACACTCTTAGGCTGAAACACCGAAACCACCGGTGAAATCACGTGGTGTTTCGTCCAAACTTCAACAAACATCAAACACATACCGTGGGTTCCATGGTCAAGTGGGCACGGCATCCATCCAAGGATTGAGTTCAGTTGAAGGTTACAGCTGAAGGAGGAGGTCTGAACCCACCGCATACGCATGGCTTTCGATGGAGGAGGGCTTTGGGCGGCTGGAAGCGCTGAAAGCACCAACTTCAGAACCCCAAGAAATGAAGTCCAAAGGGTCGGCCTGTGCCATGCGATCCAACGGGTCGGCCTGTGCCATGCGGTCCAACGGGTTGGCCGGCACGAGATCGTTCGTCTGAGACGAGCATGAACTTGTGAAGGCAGGCGGCCTTTACGGACTGATGCCATCGCTATTAAAAGGTTCTTGAAGTTTTTGGTCGGCAAGACTGTATAGACATTCTTGCGCGGCCGTGACTGATGATGCAGGAAGATATGGAGACTCTTCTTGAAGTTGAAAGCAGTGACGACTGATGATGATTGGCTGGGTGAAGAAAGCCGTAGATGCTGTCAGAAATGGACACATATGAAGAAATGTCATTTTAGATGCTCTCCCGTCAAGTCGAGAGGGTGGAACAGGGCGGCGGCATCCAGTTTTTGGCTATTAGCCCCAAGAAGAGTGACGGGATTAACGAAGACACCTTCCTTTTTCTGCAGAACACTCTGAGGCCCGTGGGAGGGCGTCAAAGACTTCAGATGGGCAACGCCCGTTTTGAAGGCAGTCCGGACTGGCAGTCCCATTACTCGTGGGGATTTTGCTGTGAAGAGCCGGCAGAGGGACGCTTCAGCATGCATGAACGCCCCAACCATGGCGGGCGTCCAAAACCATGCGATGTTTGTCACAAGGGAGTGCTGAGCACTCGGAACATCTCGGAACTCGTCGGCTAAGGAAGTGGAGCTTCAGATCTTGGTGCACAGGTTGGATCGTTCGATGCAATCCTTGGTTCGACCGTCGACCATGTTGGCTGAATCCTTCAGCAGACATCCACCAATTCAACGACGCCTTCCGCCATCGTTGCCCTGTTTCTGCACCAGCTGTGCGATGCGCAGACCGCGGCGCTGTTCGATGTCGTGAAATCCGACGTCCGTGAAACGGCGCCGTGAAACAGCGCCCCACACTCAGCCATCCCAAAGGGCGTGGCTTCGCAACACCACTCCGCAGTCGTCTTCGAGAAACCGCGATGTTTCGCGGATTCGATGCGGTTCACTTGGTCGTTCGCAAAACCATTTGCTCAGCTGACATGGTTACAAGTAGTCCACTCAAACTGGAACAGCCAACTGCTACCCCCGCAGAAATCGCAGGATCCACCCATGGCTCGGCTGAGATCATCCCGTTTAAGCTGCCAGGGCACAAGGACGGGACATGCCAAGCTGGTTTGTCAAGCGATGAGGTCAAGCTGATCATGCGATGTGTGGATGTGAAGCTTAGGACCCCTTGTGTGCTCAAGGTGGAGAACTTCTATGGAGAGCAAGGTTGTAAAGTCGTGAAAGTTGCCCAACTTGTGACTAACTCCTGGCATGATGCTAATTGATCCTTCGTGGCGATTTGCAACGTGACCGCTACTATTGATAGTACAGAAATGACTCTCACTTTGGCTTGAAGACGTTTTGATTTCAGAAGAATGTTTGAGTCATGACAACTGGTCTCGCATGAAGTACTGTAATTTGATTTATGTGTTG